TCATGGCCTTAAGATAGTCCCCTTCCTGAGATATTGCCATGAAGTATAAGAGGATGTCAACCTCGAACTGACTGAGGTCTTTCATCAAGGAATGAAAATCTTCACGAGACTCCCATGTCCAGATATCACCCTCCCAACGCACTGCAATAAATGTAGCTGGATATGTCCCGTTTATAGTCGGGAACAGAGACTTAGTTGGTTCGAAGACAGACTTTGAATCCACTTCCCAAGCTATCAAGCCGATCCCGAGAATCTTTGATGAAGACCGGTCCTTCATCACAGACTCCTGCTCACCATTTGGCTCCTTATGGCGCTTCACACGGGCAGTCCGCTTACCCTGACACTCATATCCCATCACTGCTACCAGGCCTGCCAGCTTAGTCTTTCGCCAAGCTAGGATGGAGCCCGAGGTCAAAAGAAGCCCATAATGATTTTGTGCTCGGCGCCTAACCAAACCAATGTCGACACACTCTAGATCACGCTCTGTGTGGTAGACCAATTCTGGGCCGTCATCGAAGGAATCGTGGTCTAGAGCCTCTTGATCGAGCCCGTCCTTCTCCGTATCGTCGTACTCACCATCCTCTCCGCCATATTCACCTTCTCCTTCATCGTACCTATCTTCCTCTCCCTGATCATATTCATTTTCTTCGTCGTAATATTCGTCGTATTCTTCCTCGTCCTCATCGTATTCGCCCCCTTGGTCACTGTATTCATTCTCGTCGTCATGGTACCCATTCTGGGCTTCCTCCTCTTCCTCCTCATCGTCAACACCGGAATCTTCATGGTATCTCGCCTGCGTATCTCCATCGTTGTATTCATCCTCCGCTTCATCAGAAAGGTCCCTTGGGGAGTTCTGGTTTTCTTTATGCTGGTTGCGTTGTGTGCTTAAACGACCTGTATATCGGTTAGAAGGGGTAGCATCACGTTGGCCGTTAAGGAAGTCATACCAACTCGTTCACGATGAAAATCCAAAAACTCCCCCCATTCAATGTTCCAAGACTTAGGCAATTTGCCTAATCTGATACATTCATCGAGGTCGTTCTTGGCATGCGAGAACAATGTGGTGTCCCTGCTTCCCGCAAAGGCTGTTGAAGCTTGACCTAGCTGCTCGGCAGCTGTCTTGAAGGCGGCAATATCGATACACCCATTTGCTTTAGGAACCTTGTATCTGATATTCTTTGCCTGGATTTGATCATTTACAGAGTCAAGCTGAACGGAGGCCTGTTGCCTTTCGCTGGAGCGACCCCAAAGGATAGACGCAATGAGTGGCTCTGCGATATCATACTCCTCAGTGTACTGGGGTGCTCGCAAGGCAGACTTGGCGGTAGGCCTAGGAGTAGGGCCAGACTTCACAGCAGGTTTCAACGAAGGCTTCATGCTCCGCATAATTCTTCTTGTGTATTGTGTATTGCGTATTTGAAGAAAATTTTCGAATGAAATGCTTTCCAAGGTTTATGCTTTTCACGAGCTCAGGCATTTGACAGGCTTATATGTGGCATGAATGCACTTAAAAGCTTCCAACACTCTATCTCAAGTCTGTACGTTTTTACAACTGTACGTTTTTACAACTGTACGTTTTTACAACTGTACGTTTTTACAACTGTACGTTTTTACAACTGTACGTTCTGTTGACATCACGTGATATCTGCCACATTTCTTTGTCAAGATCGCATGTTTTCTATTGGATAGTACTAGCTAACTAAATAAGTGAATGTGATTATAATCCGGTGATCCCTCGATTTTCGACCAATAGAAACCCATTTCTCTTTGTGCGCCCAGGCTACTCTCTGGGCTGTGGTATCCTCAGGCGTCCACTCCCTGATAGATGCCTGAGGCAAAAAACAGTGCAAACCCTGCAAACCCCTCGGGATGACAATCTTTCTTCCACCACACCCGAGGTCGGATGGTTTCTACACTCACTTCCAATACAGACTGTTACATACGGTATGTATAATCTATCTTCTCCATCCGTAGACAATCTACCAATTGCTCTTTAAAGACGGCGGACGTCAATTCTCAAATTTTGAGAACATTGATCGACTGCAGTGGTAGGCGGTGCGATATATTCTATTACTGTTGCGGTGACTGCATCCATATGTGCATGGCTATGGCTGGGATATGCACGTCACATAGGACTAAGTCTCAATCGCGTGCGGGTAAATTTCGATTTTGAAATGATCCGTTTGTAGCATTTGAGTTCTATTTGAGGAGTTCTTTTTGATCCGCACTAAGGTGCTCTTGAGGACCAAGTTCCAAGCTTAAATTAGCCTAGGCTAAAACAAAATTGACATCCAGAGTAAAATTTTTATGAATCTGCCCTAAAGCTCGCATGGGTCAATTCTAAGCATCAGATCTACTTATTCTAACTGGCTTACATCGATATCTGCAAACGTTTGCATCTTGGATTCCCTAACGACTGAGAGCAATACAGCACTTGAGACTCTAAGGTTTGCATATAGGTATACGCAGCGATCGAAATAATATAATAGAATTTAAGTTAAACTTGCATGAACTTATGACAATTTGCTCTATCAATGAATATAATAAGGAATGTTTACAAAGTCCTAAGGCCCACCCGGGACTCGAGTATGTCGAGTGCTACGTCGTGTCGGTAGGTTGCTTGGTGGGTTGCTGAGCTCTCCGCGGCGGGCGCGACCTCGACCACGTCGCTGTTGGGGTTGACCCTGGTTGCCCTCGGATAGGGGAATGTTTAATCCCGCACTGCGCTGGTCCCCTTCGTTGCCTTGGTTGGAGCGGTTACCCTGGGTTGATTGTGGTGTCCGTTGCCGCTGATTGTCCTGGTTGGAGCGATTGGAGCGGCTGGAGTGCGTTGGTGTCTGCCGCTGATTGTCCTGGTTCGATCGGTTGCCCTGGGTGGAGATTGGCGTCTGGGGCTGATTGTCTTGGTTGGAGCGATTGGAGCGGCTGGAGCGGCTGGAGTGCGGTGCCTGTCGCTGCTGATCGCGGTTACCCTGGGTGGATTGCGGTGTCCGCTGCCGCTGATTGTCTTGGCTGGAGCGGTTAGAGCGGCTGGATTGTGGTGTCTGTCGCTGATTTTCTTGGCTGGAGGGGTTACCCTGGCTGGGTTGTGGTGTCCGTTGCTGTTGATTGCCCTGGTTGGGGTGGGCGCCCTGGTTGGATTGTGGTGTCCGTTGCCGCTGGTTGTCTTGGCTGGAGCGGTTAGAGCGGCTGGATTGTGGTGTCTGTCGCTGATTTTCTTGGCTGGAGGGGTTACCCTGGCTGGGTTGTGGTGTCCGTTGCTGCTGATTGTCCTGATTGGAGCGATTAGAGCGGCTGGATTGTGGTGTCTGCCGCTGATTGCCTTGGCTGGAGCGGTTACCCTGGCTGGAGTGTGGTGTCCGTTGCCGCTGATTGTCCTGGCTGGAGCGGTTGGAGCTGCTGGAGTGCGGTGCTAGTCGCTGATTGTCTTGGCTGGAGCGGTTACCCTGGCTGGATTGTGGTGTCTGTTGCCGCTGATTGTCCTGGCTGGAGCGGTTGGAGCTGCTGGAGTGCGGTGCTAGTCGCTGATTGTCTTGGCTGGAGCGGTTACCCTGGCTGGATTGTGGTGTCTGTTGCCGCCGATTGTCTTGGTTAGAGCGATTGGAGCGGCTGGATTCTGGTGTCGGCTGCTCATTGCCCCGGTTTGAGCCCTGGTTTAAGCGCGGCATTCGCTGGTTGCCTGGTGTTTCCAGCATCCGCTGGGCCTGGCCTCTATTCCCCTGGGAGGGGTCACCGGAGCTAGGTGACCTGGTCGCTCTTGGGGTAGAAATACCGTATGTTCGCTGTGCTTCACCATGCCCTCGGGCTCGGCTGGGGGTCACCTCAGGTGTGAAGAAAACCCTGCTCTCAAGGACACTACCTTCTTCATCAATAGGGCTTAAATAAGGCTGACGCTGCTGCGCATGCCCATATTGTTGTTCTCTATCATCCTGAACCACCTCTTCATCCTCATTGGAGCCCTCATAATATCCTTCTTCATCTTCTTCCCCAGCTTCTTCGACAATATCACTATTGCTGCCGGCAATTGAACCTTGTCTCAAACCTATACCACTATCGAACTCGTGAGAGTTATCTTCTTCCATGATAACCGGTTCATATCCGATGCTCGTTATTCGCCTGTTTTCTTCGGCGCGTGGCTGGAACCAGTGTGCACCTCGATATGCGTTCACATTTTTCCAGTGGTCGTTTGCCATTTGGGTATTTGCCGGAGCATATTCTGGCCTCACTCCTGTAAGTGCCTCGCGGTAATTGGCCTCCTGCTCCTTCGCCACATTGTATATTAACATGTCTGTCTTCAGGTTGTTGCTAGCACAGACGTATCGAAGATTATGCCGCGACTCCCAGCTCGCATCTCCATTCCACCAATGAATATAGACATACGTCTCTGGATACCACGCTCTGGTCATCGGTTTTAATAAGGATATTGGGTCCTGGCTGACCGACTTCTTATCCACCCGCCATGCGACGATTCCCCAAGCTTTAATATCTCGCTCGGTCCGAAGATCGTCCTTTCGGCGACCAAGAGCTTTTTCTGATATGTTAGGTGCTCGAGAGGGAATAGGACGCCGGGCCGCTGGGATCAGTCGTGCAGTCACGAACCCGCCGCACGCATATCCGACTATCACTGATTTGCCGGTGTTGTTTCCGCGCCAAGCAAGAACAACTCCTTCCATCGGCAAGCCAGATGTTTCTGCAGTGTGGTCCAGCAGATCCGGTGCTGACCACATAGGTTGAAGGAACGATTCCGCCTCGCCATCATCGTCGGGGAAGTCCTCTTCATGACCTAGGGTATTCTCCCCCCGGTTACTATGTTCTCCTTCCGCCTCGGCATGGCTTTCCTGGCCCCCCAAGCGCTCAAGACCCGGAGGGGTATCGTCACTGGTTCTGTTACGGCTGCGATAATTGGAGTTATTGCGGTTGCGGTCATTAGAGTTGTTGCGGCTGCGGTAATTGGAGTTGTTGCGGTTATTATTTCGGCCCTCCACACGCTCAAAGCCGGGAAGGGAGGCGTCACTGCTGCCGTTGCGGTTGCGAGTTGACATTATTAACGGTAGAAGTGGGTGAATAGCTGATGTGTGCTTTGGGGGAGGCGGGGCGAGCAAGTTTATAATTCTCACTCTGAAATGCATATTGGGGGCAAATTCCATTTTCGAATTTGTCAACCATACCGAAATCACTATGTACAAATGTGCACATGGTACAGTAGGTAAAAGGGGACAAGTGTCATTTGTACCAAATAGCCTTTTTAGGTTATTTAAAATATCGATAATTCATCAATTAACCTGTGTCAAACAGGTTCTTCATGGACTTGGCTCCTGCATATTTGGCGCCGCCTGTGGGCCTTCGTCGCAAAATAGCCACAGATGACGGCTTCTCCCGACGAGATCCTCGGGATGGGCCGTATGGTGTGTTCATCTCGCACGTCAGCGAGGGCGTCTACTTAGCCATCGATACTAGCGCTTACGCGCACCTATGGAATCAGGCGACCGTATTTATTATGTCCCTTCTTTGGGCATCCAACGATCAGCGTGCATGGGCAAAGGAGCAGTTGATATCAATAAACATCGCAATCGACCGACAGAATGAGACGAAGTTGAACCAGCCTCCTGGCACTGGCTGTATTGAAGTACATAACCTTCATCGCGCGGGTATCCAGTTGGACCTGGCGGTTAGAGATGCCAAGTTCTATCGCTCAACCGCGCGCTACGAGGATGTACGTGACTTTGTTTGGGAGAGAATCCAGAACAGAAACTATCCGGAAAGCTGGGCTATTACAAGACGCCAGTTTCAACGTCATATCGCTAAATTTGAACGTAAACCCTCGGTGTCTAATGATTTCGATACTGAAGATGGTGCTTATAAACAATCCAATGCACCAGCCATATTGAAATCAACGGTCAAAGCAAAGCCGAACCCAAGGGTCTCATTGGCCGATGTTATTCGCACACATGCAAAGATGGCTGCGTCGCAAACGCCCCGTCCTGCGCGGAACAATAGGGAGCGCTCTCAAGAAATTCCCCGGGTTCCTCTTTCGCGAAGCATGCGGAGCTTGGAATACCCCGAATCATCGACAATGAAGAATAGGAATATCATTAGATAAGCTTCATTCAAGACCTCAATTTACGTCACGTTTCAAGACAAATATTCCCCAGAACCATCGTCAACGATCTGTCTCTCAACCGTACTGTTGCCAACAGGCCTTGCTGCAGGTTAGGTCCTTTTGAGGGTATCGAGGAACGATGCCAGGTAGAGCGCTCAGTTGAGTATTGGTCAATCCGTGAGTATTGTCAAGTTATAATCAAGTAAGAAGTCACAGAGTAATACAAAGGTAAACACAAGCAATAATGTATAATTGAAGACGAAGAACTAAGCAGATTCAAAAAATGAGTGTCTTTATACATCTCTGAGTTCTTCCTACTTCTCCGTATACTCCTGCGTATACTACTGGAGTCGACGCGGAAGCCACAGTCACGTGACCTTGTTCATCCGCCCCCCTCCCCCCCGGGATACGCCATGAATGAAAGACAGTGTGAATCTAACAATGATAACATAAATTCGAGCACCTAGGTGGTATGAAACATTCCTAACAGAAAGTATCACACGTTCTCCTCGGGGATGATGGCCTCTGATGTCAGGCGCTCTTTTGGGGGAAGACCTGAAATTCCTAGTCCGGTATAATCGGTCCGCTTCTCCAGGAACTCGTAGGCTTCAAAAAGTTTCAAATAGTCCCGGTGTAGCTGGTCATAGTGGGCTGATAGGGCATTCTTTCCAACGTTGACTTGCTGCAATCTCCACCCCGAAGTGTGTAGTGAGGTTTCGAGAGCCGAAATATGATTTTGAAGGTAGGTGATTGAGTGAGCATCCTCTTGCTCACGCTGGAAGAACCAGCGTACGACGTTCAATGGGACGAGAACGTGTTCGGAGTTTACCTTGAGGCGTGTTAGCAGGAACTTGTCGAGGGATCATAAGAATCTACATATGCATACAGCTTGGTTTTGCATCGTAACAGGTTCGAATCGGAGAGATGATTTGTGGAATGCGAATTGTAGGGGAATCCTGGTGGGGAGGGGGGTTAAATATGCATTATCGAATCGAAGAATAGGAACTAAAAATAAAATTCTACGCGCGCACATTAATCTCTATATGATAGACAATCTTATTCCGTGTAGATCATTTCCTAATTTCCTTTCATCCCGCCGGTTGTAGTCTGAGTTACTACTCCTGCTCTAAGAACATGTGGGAAATGTCGACCAAGCTATGCCATAATTAGAAACAACAATCCAGCTTGGAGTGGTGTCGCCTTACTAGTGGGTCTTTCGTAGCTGCCGCCACTTATTCTCTAGGGCCGATGCAGTTCTGTGTCGGTCGTCCGGGACACTTTCGTTGAATCTGAGCGCAATTTCTGGCCATGAGAGTCCCCCTATCTGCTTGAGGGCAATCAAAAGATGTTCTTCCTCTTCATAGTATTGCTTGTTATGACCTGGGGCGTTCGGTTCGGCCGCCATTGGGAGGCTTTGTGACAATATGGACGTGGTGGGCTTGGAGATAATGGAAATTCCTAGGTGGGAGCGTTTCGCTGGCGGGATCGTCCTTTTAAGACAAACCTTTCTAAATTTACGATCATACGTGGGCGCTCCGCCGCTAGATGAGCGCCAATTATATCCCGCCTATCCGGTAGTTTGCGCAGGCAGAACAAGATAAATTCAGCCGACTGCGCCATTTTCCATCCTACACAATTATCAGTATGGAAACCACAGACTTTGACGCATTCCTTAGATGGGGCGAAGATCGCGATGAGTTCCCTGATCTTCAGTATGCCTTACGCAGCGACGAACCATTTTCATGGGACCAAATTTTGGACGAGTACCTAGACCCATTCGAGTACCTGGAGCCATTCCCACTTGGCGCACTCGCCCCAATCGAAGAGAAAGTGGAAGCCATTGATGCACTCCCCGAGCTATCACCCAGTCCGACACAACAATACGATGTTCAGACGCTAAGCGAATCAATCACTGAGCTTAAAGACCGCCTTAATGGGTTGGAAGACCAGTATGGTACTCCTCCTCCCTCACAATCTCCCTCCCTCACAATCCCCCTCCCTCACAATCCCCCTCCCTCACAATCCCCCTCCCTCACAATTGGAATCCAGAACCTGACTATATTAGAATTACGGAGAAGCAAAAGTCAGTTTGCTAAATAGTTACATTCTCCAGCCGTGCTAACAGCAGGTAGAAGGATCGCCGACTTGGAGGCTTATGTCGAGAGCCTTCAGCCATTCCTCTTACAACTTGGCACGTCTATCGAGGGGCTCCTGACAGAGGTCCCAAAGTAATCCGGATAGTGGGGACAGAAAGAATTTGAGGCAGTGATGTCTTTTGATTTGTTAGATAGTTTCTTTACTGTAATAATGCATTCAGCCGCAGAGTCAAATCCGAGGGGTCTAGGATGCCTATAGGCCGCTTCCAAGCCGTCATACGCACTAGTGGGAAATCAATTCCGGTTCGTAGGGGCTCTGGACCACGCTAATGCACCACAGGCACCTGCGCACCGGTCACGCCGTGCCGTAGCATAAAGAAAGTTTTTGTGTTTCCATGAATAGCCTAGCCTATATTTTAGCGTCTCAGCGATGATCCGGCCCACGAGCTAAATTGGACGAGACAGGGATCATAAGGCGTAGGCGCAGAGGGCTCCTCGATGATTTACGTAGCATTCCGCCTTGTTAAGTGTCCTACATGGGGAAACTCCTGCGCAACCGAGATTGTCTCGCCTCTTCCAGATTATGTGACGTGATATGGCGGAAATGACTCCTTCCAGGCGTTCGTTCCCCTTGTGGGGCGTTCCGGAACCTTGAGGGGCGTTCCGGAGCCCCCCGCCTGTCTTCCCCCCGTTCCTCTCTCGCGATGACTCTATCTATGGCGTTCTATTCGTGGGTGGTCTCGTGGGCGTCACTGATGGCGTGCTGGCTGTGGAAACGGGAACGTAGTTACTACCTATGGGACGATCGAAGTGGGATAGCCGATGGTGGATAAGCGGGTCATGTGGTCATGTGACCTCCTTAGTGAGGGTTCGTGGGCTCTCTTCGTTATCTTCTAGTATTCTCCTGGGCGTCACCCCTTGTGGGCCCTCGTGGGCGCTGCTCTCTTCGTTATCTCCTCTAGTATTCTCGTGGGCGTCACCCCTTGTGGGCCCCTCGTGGGCGCTACCCCTCGTGGGTCGTTAGCAGGCGCTCTCTTCGTTATCTTCTCTAGTGTCCTCCTGGCGCATTACTTTCACGGGCTAAGATCCGTAGACCATTATCAGGGCGGCTAATACGTTGATGGCTCATTGAAATAAAAGGCCTTACACTGTCAATATGAGTTGAAGTTTAGCAGAGTTTCTGCTATACAATGGAGGTGAGTTCCAAATAAATGTTGGTTGCTAAAATCCCATGTCTGACTGATAGTAGAAAAGCCCAGCAAATACCACAATCCCCTCAAAAGAGGACTTCATCAAGGCTCTACACAACGAACGTCGAGAATATATCGAAACTGCCAACGATTTCCTCCAGTCTATCGAAAAGATGATTACGTCTGTCAAACAGCTCGAGAACAACATTTCAAACATGGAAACCTTAAACCGGCAGCAACTCGTTATCCTGGATACTCTTTCCCGGGATGAAAACACTTGATCCACATTTATTACCTGCCTATTCTTATTTAAGCAGACGTTATTTTTAGGTCGCCCACTTTGCACATTAAAACAATTTTACATTTGAGCATATATCCTTTGCTACATTTAAAGACTTCCTGAGTTTTATAAGTCAAGAGTGAACCCACGCGAAGTACAAAATATCAAACAATGGCTTCCTGTAAACATGCCGGATGGCTTCGTGTCATAGAGAACCGCGATTCGAAAGAGCTTATTATAGAAAGAACCGATCGACTGGGTGCTCTGGTTCGCGAAATGCCCGAGCCAGACTTTCAACGCCCGCAGCTTTGTCTCTTCTTGGGTACCTCAACGAAAGATGAGGCTATGCGGAACATCTTTAATCGAAATAACATACGCCGTGGAGATCGAGCAAATGTCAACCTACGGGTTGATACGACATCTTTGACGAGCGACAATCCTGTGCTTTTTGCAGATAGCAATCCCTTCCAAATTCCTCTTTCCGAAAAGACTCACGTGTGGTGTCATGAAACTACGTCTTATTCTACAACATGGCACACAACTGCATCGCGCGCCGTCATCGACGTTCTATATTCCAGACTCGTCTTCACTTTCAGCGATGTCATTTGCATGTTTGCCGATGACTTTCAGACATTAGAAGCAATTATGCTACGCTTAATAGCGTGGGTTGAGGTGCAAAATGCTTCTTCGCTGCCTTCCGATACGCGTCCTAGACTGCTCATTATTGTTTCGGAAGATGGCAAGTTTAGCGAGGCTCGCATAGAGGACTACCTGGCCTCATCTAACCTTGGACGCCAACTTTCATCAGGCTTTTCCACACTCAAGATCTTTCAACTAGCAGGCAAATACCTTTCCCCGTCTACCCGCTACCAACGGCTCCATGCAGAGATTCGATATCATATGGAAGAATCGAGAGCGATAAAATCGAGCCTTAGGTGCCTTTTCTCCGCCACTCACCTTCTACATTTTTTCAACTCCGCAGTGAAGCACACAGCGCATAACCCAGGAGAGGTACTCGACTTTATTAGGGTCGCGAGAGACTCAGATCCAGTTAAAGCAGACCACCATGTATATCTGCAGAAGTTTCTCAAGCTCTGCGTTCACTTCAAAATCTCATACAGCATAGTCGCAGCATTTGTTGCCTCAAGCATTATGATGAATGCGTACCCGAAAAGGATGCATCGTGAGTCTTGGATTCTACACGCTTCCTTATCATTTCCTAACTTTCCATAGTTTTTGACCCGTATTTGATATACCGTAACCTATATAGGTCTCATTGCAATAAGGCATTTCAATTCTCCTATGGAGCACAGTGCTCTACCTATTTGGATCGAGAGGTTCAAGCTCAGTGTGACCGTATATTCGAGGCGCTAGAGGACGGATATACGGATGCTGCACAGCTTCATAGAGGAACCGCTGAAAAGTATAGCAGTTTCCTACGCCAGGTTGTGACAAACACAGTCTGTATCTGGTGCCTTTGCCGACCTCCCGAGAGACATTTGAGCTGCGGTCACTCAATATGTGACGTATGCGCCGCTTCATTTGGCATTCCTCTTCCAAAATCGGACACTCAAACCCGGCTAGACTGTCTTTTTGATGATGGCGGAGAATTACTGGTGAATATCAAACCACCAACAGCTGGGGTGAGGCTTATAGGCATTGATGGTGGTGGTGCGCGAGGTGTGACGCCCCTCGAGTTCCTAGGTGAATTACAGAAATTACTTGGAGAATGTCCAATCCACGACATGATTGATCTTGCACTTGGTACAAGTTCAGGTAAGTCTTCGATAGTGTTAGCTGCAGAATACATGACTGACAGACCAGGGGGTCTAACTGTACTGGCCAAATTCCATCAAAAGTGGCCTGTCTCCCATTGTGCTAGTGTGTTTGAGACTCTTGCCCGTCGATGTTTTTCAACCTCTGACTCCGCGTTGGGTCGATTGAAAGCGGTGGTCAAATATATAACTAGCGATGCAATGTACGACGAGCGATTTCTGGAAGGTGCCCTTCAAGAGACTTTGCCCGGACAGTTATTTGGTTACGTCCCTGGGATAGTATCTGGGACGAAGGTGGCCCTTACTGCGACGTCTGGTGGGAACGCACGTTCAATATTCACAAACTACAACGGCTCAGCACAACCGATGGGTACGTACGATTTTGCCGATTCTTGCCTATCTTCCTAATGGCTTCCTTCCAGGGTATACAGTGGTTCGACCTGAAAACAATCACGACGAAGCTTCGTTATGGCAAGCGTAAGTTGGAATCCAATTATTGTTCTTACACTAGAGTGCTAAACTCGGATAGAGCTCGTGCAACGACAGCAGCCCCTATGTATGTCCATATGTCCATATCTATACTTCTCATCCGCGCTAATGACCATTCTAGTTTCTTTAAGCCTATTACGGTGGCTGGTCAAGAGTTTTGGGACGGTGGGCTTGGGTTTCCCAACCCTATTGAATTAGCAATGTGGGAGTCTTCCCGTATCTGGGATAAAAATATATCCCACGATGTTACCATCTCTCTAGGCACCGGAGAGGCCTCTAAGGGCTTACCTAGGAGAAAAACCCACTCCCTACAGAGATTATGGACTTCTTTCATGGATTTCCTCGATGGACACACTAAATATGGTGATGTCAGAAATGGGTTGGATGAGCAACGCAGGCAAGACTTCTTTCGTTTGAATACTGAGCTTCCATTCCCAATTCGGCTGGACGATATTCAAAGTATACCACTACAGAAAGAGCAGATACACCTGCGCCCGCAAGGTCAGCTTATTGAAGTTGCAACAGCGCTCTTGGTTTCAAACTTTTACTTTCAGCTTGATACATCTCCCATCTATGATGGAGGCTTCTATTTATGTGAAGGCTCGATTAGGTGTCGGGGCGTCTACAACAATATAGTCAACGCTCTCATAACTCTACATCAGCCTGAGATGGAGTTTGTTACTGCGAATGAGACCCTCGCCTCGCTGGATTTACAAGCCTGTCAAATGTGCTCCCTTTACAACAAACATGTTTCATTCTACGTCCGACACCCTACGGAAACTGTCACAATATCGCTGCGGTTGGCAAAAGGCATTGAAAGGAAGATAAGCGGCTTTCCTAAAAGTATGCAATGTTTTGAGGTACAACAGGGCCTCGACTCTCCTTTCACCGGCCCTAGAAGCTGTCAGAAGATTCGAGACTGCTCAACCTGTTCCAGATTATGCAAAAGGAAGAATCGGGATAGCATGGCTTCCATTCACACAAAGCGTGTAAGGAGATAGGCATGTCAAGAGGCGTTATTCAATTAAATTCGCATTTATGTGTTTGTGTCGACAAGAAAAACGAACACCCTGGGGCGTTCCCAGGAGCTAAATCATTTACTCCTGGGAGCCGTAGGTCCTCTGGAAACTATGATTCTGATTCCTAGGAGCGGCAATGGGTCTTAAGTGGTATGAAAATGGGATCTTACGATGCTTATCACTTTCAACTTCATAACCATCAAGCTAGCTTAAGCGCTCTGGTAGACAGGTTTTTGTGCACAAAAACGTATCTATGGTAGCTTGGACGGTACTCTCGTAGATTAGACGGTGCTCTGGTAGACGGGTTTTTGTGCACAAAAACGTGTCAAGAGTGTACCTAGGAACCATGCTATGGACCCTGGGGCCGGATATGACACTAGGAACGTGTGGGTCTCACATTTGTCACCCTGTTTTGGGTTGGCAATCGCGTCTCTGTGAGTCTAGAAAGCGATTACGACATCCGTCCGAGATCTGAGAAGGATCAAAAGGATCAACGGAATCTTGCGTGACAAAAATTCCCCGTGATTATCATACATCAAAGCTTAGATGACGTCATAGTGGACTTAGTTTGGAGCTATGGCAATAAACGAAGACAACGTCTTCATTTTCTTACTTGTTTATTATTTTACTATTCAGCCTTAGAACTGCTCATTGGGTACGCTAGCTTAAGTCTTGAAATAGCGCTTGCTTCATCTTGGGTATTATATAGAATATAAATGAAGTCTGGGTTGTGATATTTATACAAATATGAGCTATATAGTTAAAGAGAAAAGTCTTAAGATTAGACCTCGACATTTCCCATGGGCACCCTATAGCCTTCGGCCTACCATACATCCTATAGGTCCCATAGGCCGGGCACCCGCCCTTGGTGCGGCCTATGGCATGGGACTAAAAAAAGTTCCTACGCTAGCATAACTAACCTAAAACAGATGGATAAAATGCTGAGTTATCATAATAACTTACCGTGATTTACACTTGTTTTGTTAGTCCTCTTCTTCAACCATATTGTGCCTATAACATTAGTTGAAATTTAATGAAATGAAACTGTATTTATTAATTTAATATTGTTATGACCTACATAAGTAAAATTTAAAGTCTAGTGGTCTTCTTTAGTGGTGGTAAACGTAAGTAACAATGTAGGATTGAAGACGAGACGAAGAACTAAACTAGATACATGAATGTGTCCTTATATATCCTTCGCTTCTTACTCCATGGTCTACTCCCTAGGGGTAGATCGTGGAGTCACCCGTATACCCCAGGTATACTCCTGCGGAGTAGCTCACGGAGTCGTAGTCGCGTGATGGTCACGTGATCCTTGTTTATCGGGTTTTTGTGCACAAAACTACGTCTCTCCCTAGGCAGGCGGACTGGTTGGTTGGTCCTTGACGGCCCGTCCGTGTAAACGTGTGGGGTCACCATTGATTGGTAACTGGCATGTCCATAACATAAGCCTAAGCCACCCCAGAGCCACCGTCCATGGAAAAATCCTACCATGGCCGGATATGATTTTGTGCATAAAAACCCGTCTACGAGAACACCGTCTAAGCTACCTTGGATACGTTTTTGTGCACAAAAACCCGTTTACCAGAGTACCGTCTAAGCTACCTTGGATACGTTTTTATGCACAAAAACCAGTTTCTTTGTTTGCTCACGTTCTTTGTTTGACATATAATGAAAAGAGCACGAGGTTGCTCTATCTATTACCTGACTAGCTCTGCTTTTGATTCTGGTTCTCCCTACTACATCAACTTACCTTTGTCACTTGCTCATTTTCATTTTCGCTATGTCGACACCTATCGAAGATACTAACACAGCCGAAGAAGCCCTCCAGCTATCATTTACTAATACACTCAATATCCACGGCCAGCTAGTGAGGTCAATAGATGAAGCTCTCGAAGTGGTGAAAACCCTCGCGCCTAAGGACGTTTACCCCGCTGCTTTGATGATTCAAGACCATGCCTATGCCTTTTTAGGAGTAGTAGTGAGAGCCCTACGGAAGCTATATGACTTTATCGAATAAGGAGAATTCTAGAAATCGTATAAAGAAACCCTCGAAGCATTTTAGGACTCGTGGAAGACCACACGGGATACTATTAAAGCCTAGGAGACTCTCGATCGATTTAACGTAAAGCTCCGTCAACGAGCTATTGCCTAGTAGGGTGAAAGCTAGGCTAACGCCCTTCTTACACGTTTAAAAGGCGATACTATAATGCGAAAAGCTAGCAAGTTTCTCTCTAAAGGATTCTTATACCCTAAGATCTAAGCTGCTATTAATAATGCTTATATACACCGACGATCTACACGTGGACGTGGGATTCGCTAGGAAACTCGAATCATATAAGGAGACCTTACTAACGCCTTAGCGTAGCGAGATTTTACACCTCTTAACCCCGATACACTCTATACACTAGAACTAGGAATCGACGTGGATGGATTTATCTATCCTACCGGAGCTACTAGGTCTACACTACCTTACCTATGCTCACCTATACGAGCTATAGGAGCTACTAAGCTCGTTGACCCTTATAAATCGAATAGATCGTATAGATCGAATAAGTAACCTAACCTAGCGACGACGACTTAGCCTTCGAAGCTTCGAAAGAGGCTCCGTACCGTAACACCCTTATCGATACTATCGCCCTCGTTACTAACACCCTTATCGATACCACGGCCCTCGCTACCTTTGTCATCTCTTTTTTCTAACGAGGACGAGGACGAGGACGAGCCTATCCCTAGCCCTTCTAAGCGTGCACGTATAAACCCTAAGAAGTTACTTACTTCTTACGGCGAGGACGAGGACGAGTATAAGGGTGAAGATAAGGATAAGGACGAGGATAAGGACGAGAACGAGAACGAGAACGAGGACGAGAACGAGAACGATAACGAGAACGAGAACGAGAACGAGCCTATCCCTAGCCCTTCTAAGCGTGCACGTATAAGCCCTAAGAAGTTACTTACTTCTGAGATACGCAGAGCTCTGTAAGGTCATATGAACGAGGTTTACGTGACCGTACGGAGCTAGGTGCACGTGACCAGATTAAGCTGGGTGCACGTGACCGCATAGACGTGTATATAGTAGTCTAGTACT